GGGGTTACGAGTTTCTAGGTTGCGTATGTGGGAAATACTTGCCCAGACCACCTTACAGGAACCCTGAGACAGGAATCCTTGAAGGCACCCCTAAAGCCTAAACCCCTAAAACCTTATAGACGCCTAACACCTCTAAACCCTCACAAGAACCCTGAAAGCAACCCTGACTCCATGCGGTTTAGTTTGGGCCTGTAGTTGGCAAAAGCCCCAAAAGCAACACCAAAATCCCTAAACCCCCTACACCCCGAAACCCCTAGACGCCCCTAAACCCTAAACCCTTCCGAGGGTCCCCCTAATCCTAAACCCGAAACCCTAAACCCTAATCCTAAACCCTAAACCCTAAACCCCCTAAACCCCGAAACCCCTAAAAGGCCCTAAATCCTTACAGAAGCCTTCACGGAACACTGAAAGGATCCTTTAGAGGAGCCCTGGCCCTCTGTTGAAGTGCTCGACCCGAAACGTCTCTGAACACAAAAACCCTAAGACTACAAATAGCCCAAAGTAGGTAGTATTTATAGACTTTAAACCCCAAAGTAGGTAGTATTCGTATACTTGGAGTCTTAGGGAAAATACTACCTATAGTCTCCATTGTAGTTCCTTTTTTTTGGGTTAAGCAACTATAGATTAAGCATCCTCTAAGGAAACCCCAAAAAAGAACTACAATGGAGACTACAGGTAAACCCTACTACTCCCCAAATCCTCAAAACCCTAAAACCTTAAAATCCACCCTACCTGAAAAAGCCTTAATCAAAACCCGACGAACCCTAAATTGGCCTTTGTTGGACCGCTCGACATCCCCTAAACCCAAAACCCCAAACCCGTAAACACCTAAACCCTAAACCCTAACCCTTAACCCCTTAACCCCGGTTTAGGGTGTAGGGGTTTAGGGTTTAGGGGTTTAGGGGTTTAGGGTTTAGGGGTTTACGGGTTAGGGCTTTAGGGTTTAGGGGTTTAGGGTTTAGGGCTGGGCCTTTGTTGGAACCCTAGCAAAAATTGTAATTTTAGCTGCTCTTAGGGATTCTAGTAACCAGACATTAAAAAATATTTCTATGTACCCCTAAGCTACTAAACTGGGCCTTTGTTGGAGTGCTCGACCTCCAGCAGCTTGAAACGAAGAACGGCCTCCTCGAACTCCTCCCGGCCGGGACACGCGAGGGAAGGTTTTTGAGTTCGGATTCGGGATTCCTTTCTAAGGTTTCCTTTAAAGGAGTCTATACGGGTTCCGTTAAAGGGATCTAGAAGGGTTTAGGCTTAGGGGTTAAGGGTTTAGGGTTAAGCGGTTTTGGGTTCAGGGGTTCCGGGGTTTAGGGATTTGGGTGTTGCTTTGGGGGCTTCTGTCAACATATATATGCCCAAACTAAACCGCATGGAAACCCAAATCCTGTAGTCCGAACCACAATTAGCAATAAAAGGAACCCTAAACCATCCCAAGAATTAGCAGGACAACACAGTTCAACAAGCAACTAAGCAAAACATACACACACACATGCACAAACAGAGAGAGAGAGAGAGAGAGAGAGAGAGAGATACGCACACACACACACAGACACACACAGACACACACCCACACCAACACCCACACCCACACACGCACGCACACACCATTGATCCAACAACAAAAACGATCCCCAGCACCGAACAAAAAGAGCCGATAGAACAACGTGAACCCAAGCCCCTAAATCCGAAACTCTGGTCCCGAAACCCAAAATAAAGACCTCCTGTACAAGCCCGCAAAGGAACCCTTACAGAAAAAATAACTTAAAAGGACACCCCGTCCAAGAATCAACAACCAGATCCTCGGCAGGCAGCATGGCTCCAAGTCGCTTGTGCAGCCGTTGTCGCACCTCGCTTCAAACTCTTGCGGCCACGGCAGGAGGGGGGGAGGTTGACGGTTTAGGGTCTACGGCTCCGTTTAAGGGATCTACCAGGTTCTATATACAGGGGTTTAGGGTCTACGGTTCCTTTAAAGGGATCTATCACCCAAAGGCCCCCAAAGGGGTCATGGGCTTTCTGGGGGAAGGGTTTGGGCTTTGGGGGCTAAGGTTTGGGCTCTCACTACGAGGGTCCAGGAGCCTTAGGGTGGGTTTTTTTTAAAGGGATCTATCAGGTTCTATGTACAGGGGTTGAGGGCTCAGGGCTTGGAGTTTAGGGATTGGAGTTTCGGGTTTGGGGAGGTCAAACTACTGCCAAGCCCAGATATTCGATTTTGGGTTTTGGAGTAGTGCAGATCCCAGACGATACCCAGACCACCGGGAGAATCCAAAAAGTAGATCCCTTCATGGGGGTTCCTTTTTCAGTACCCTTAGTAGTATAGGGCCCCAAATTAGAGGATCTACTTTCCAGATCCTCCCGGGGGTCTGGGTATGGGTTCTTATGCGCCCATAGCAATCAATGTGGATAGCTCAGTACTGGTCTCTCCTTCAACAACCAATCTCCACGATTCCACGATACCATGCAAGCTGATTCGGACAATGCTAGAAAGCCTACTGTGTCGCAAGCAGGCATGCGGCTGATGATAAAAAATCCGGCACTACCCATAAACAGTGATAAAGAATATACCATACATCCCATAGTCTATCGTCAACCGTAGCTCCAAGTAAACCCGGAGCCCGGAGCCCGAAGAATCGGCCACTTCCGGGCAATGCTATACTCAAACCTCAAGACCACGCACCCTCAACGATAAACCCCATGATGTACTGTTACAATAGGTTTCCTCTAAAGGGGTCCTTAACGGGCTGTACGAGGGATCTACAGTAGGTTTCCATATTAGGGGCCTTGATAGTTAGATTAGGGTTTTGGGGATCAAGATATATATATATATATATATATATATATATATATATTTATAATAAGGAAACCACCCAAAATAGTATTGCAAACTATTTAGGCGCCTATACTAGACCCCCTTCCCCTGGCAATCCCTTAGCGGTAACCTAAAACGTAAACCCCTCCCCGAACCCCTTAGGCCTAAACCCTGAATACCTACAACCCTTAGGGAACTATAACATGACCCCAAAATCTTACTCTAGTTGAAGAGGCCTTAACCCTAATGCTCCTGGACCCTCGTAGTGAGATCCCAAACCTTAGCCCCCGAAGCCCGAACCCTTCCCCAAAGATCCCATGACCCTCTTAGGAGCCTTAGGGAAACATCCCTAAACCCAACAAACCTTGCCGCAAAGCCGCCCTTCGTTTCAGAGCGCGGTTCTCGGCAGTCATGGAAGCCTGCTTGAAGGCTCCAGGGACTTAGTAAGTAAGGTTATAAGTAGGTTATTATAAGTAGGATAACCCCACTTAGGGGACTTATAACCCCAATTAGAACCTACTTACTAAGTCCCATGATCCTCTAAGCGGTGCATGGCGCCCGATGTATTCTCTAGGGGCCCAGGTATCTAGTCAGGCTTCTCGACTCGTAGCAGCAGCAGAAGCAGAAACAGTAGCGGAAGCAGTAGCAGTAGGAGTCGGAGTAAGAGTAGGAGTATGGGTAGTAGTACTGGTAGTGGTGATCGTAGTAGCAGTCGTGGTTCTGGTAGTGGTAGTAGTGGGAGTTCGGGCCCCCCAGCATGCGTCCTGTTCGAGGTGGAAACGAACGTTCCAAGGGTGCTCCATCTGGCTGTCCTGACAAAATCGGCTCGTGGTTGGTGGTGCCCACTCGATTGGACGGCATCGGAGCTGTAAGTAACCCGCAAAGGCTCGTTGTGCCTCTGAACAATTGATGAAATTGTAATCATTGAAGTGATGTTTTAAGGTGAAGGAAATATTTGCCAAAGTGCTCTTTGCACAGGATGAAGGAAGATGCTCTGGCTGCGGCTTTCTGGCTTCTACCGACGGGCCCTTGATGGAGGGTCGGGGGAATTAGTAAGTAGGTATTCGACAGAATTCTAAGTACTCTGATCCCAGTGAGGATCCCACTTATAACTCCACCTAAGTATTACCTACATACCCAGTCCTCCGACATCCAAGTATTCCTAAACCCCTAAACCCTTATAGATCCCTTAAAGGAACCCTCAGAGGAACCTTAAAGGTACCCTACATACTACGACCTCCGACCTTCCCGTATAAATAAAATATATTCCCCGCATACATCCCTTTAAGGATCCCGTTAAGGAGTCCTACTAAACTAGGTCGTCCCACACTCCCTGACTACACAATCAAATCTAGTCCCCACTCCCAAAACCCGATATGGGATCCTGTAACTAGTTCATTGTTGGGATAGGACTAAAAATTTACATTCTTATTCCTGATTGGGTTTAAGTACCCATAAAATGCAAAATGTTACCCAATTATGACAAAGTTAAGGGTTCCCACTACTTACAAAGTCCTCCGACCCCCCAAGTGCTCCCCCTGTCGCTGCCCTCCGGTCCGCCTGGACGGATTCTGCGATGAGGCGCCTCGGCTTCCGAAAAGCCGGCAAAGCTAATGTAGACCCAAGAGTAACCTAGGAATTAAAAGGGTGCCCTTTTTGGTTTAAAGGGGAATCTGAACCCTTAAAAAGGGATTAAGGGCCTACTCTACGTCCTAGTAATGTAGGGGGCCTTAATAATTAGAACAGGGGTTTGGGGTGATGCGGACTTGCGTCTGGTCGAGCAAAGACGGATGACCTGGCATGCGCAGGTTCTGACACTATACAGGCGACCTGTTTTTCACAGGTCCATCACATGTTAAATTGTGCCTTGGAAGCACAATCACAAAAAGACTGCAACCAGAGCCAGGAGGTAGTTGAGCAGTTGATGAATTAGTACGGACCCGTAGGCTGCTTCCTGGGTCGGTCCGGTTTGGGCACCAGTCGTTCCTTCTCCACAGAGGCGGCTTCTGGTTGAGAAGGTGTTTTCAAGTGTTGGTCTTTGCGGTGCGAACCATGCACAGCAGTCTTCAGAGCCTGGAAACCCTCCGTCGGTCGCCGCGAGTCCCGTCGAGGCCGGTTCAGCTCAGAAGCTGCGCCAAAAGCAAAGTCGTCAGAGGTCTTGCGTTTCCCCACCGCAACATCAGACATGCTTTCAGATTCACTGAATGTCTCCAGTCTTTGCTGGCATTCCAGTCGCATTGTAGGCCTCCTCCCAAGTTGAAAAACCTCGTTGGCCCACACGCTTTGAATGATCCGCAGTAAGAGTGACTGCTTTGGCATCAGAGCACGTAGAAGGAGCAACCGCAGCCTGGGCCCGCTCCCTTCGTCTCTGGCGCTTGCGCTGCCGCTTAGCTCTGCGAGCCTCGCGAAGCTGGTCAACAAGCACCTGCGTCTCACAGGCACCAACCACAGTACCTGGAACTCCGACTGTCACCCTTGGCTCCGTCCCCGGCCTCGCCACTGCTGTGTCCTGCTCCTGCTTCACAAGCACGGCAGTCACAGCTGCGGCAACAGCCTGGACGGTTCTCCTCGGGGCCTTAGCCAGACATGCAGCTCGCACAGCTGCACCAAGCAGTGAAGCTGGGTCTGCCATTGCTCCTATTGGTCAAGGCGCCGCAGCACAGCTGCGGAGGGAAAACTACCTCAACCTGCGTTCGCTAGAGCCGTAGAACAGGGGTTTGGGGTGCATTTTACTATAGACTATAGTCATAATGAGGAGCCCCAAGGAAAAATATGGGGCCCTTAGTAGTTAGAACAAGGTACATTCTACCACAGACTATGGCTATAATAAGGAACCCCCAGGAATAATATTGATAAGTATTCATGCCCCTATGTTATGGCCTCGGGATTTAGGGTCTAGGCTTTGAGATTTAGGGTAGAAGGTCTGAGATTAAAGTCTAGGGCTTGTGATTGCCAACATCCCTAAAGCATTCCGATTCTTAATTAAGGACCCCAACTATACCTTCACGAACGGGCGAGGGTCAAGGAGTCGTTGCCCCTAAACCCTGAATCGTAGGGGGAGCAAAAGCCCTTCGCGCAGTGCTCGGTAGTCGGAGCGACGGTGACTGGGTCCCTGGTACCTATATGGGGGATAGCTTGGGGTGATAGTAGTTCCTACTGTGGAAAACCCAAAAACCCAAAGCCGTAAACCCCCTAAGCCCTGAAAGTTCCTGAACTAGGTTGGCGCTTTCAGGCCTTGAAAAACGTTCATAAATAACTATGATCCTCTTAAGCCCAATAAGGGACGATGCAAAATTTCCAAAGACCTACCCAGTACAGTAAACCCTAGACTTTCCTAAACACCCTAAACCCTTGAAGGAACCCGGAAAGGTACCCTCACAGGAACCCCTAAGGGGAACCCTGATAAAAAAAAAACCTTGAAGGAACCCTTCAGGGAAGTCTTAACGGTGCCCTTAAAGGAACTATACTGGAACTTAGAACCCTAGCAAAAACTATAATTTTAGCTGTTTCTTAGGGATTAATAATAACCACAAATTTTCAAAAAAAAACTAAGTACCACTAAGGGTGCCCTAAACCCTAAACCCTAAACCCTAAAAAGTCTTAACCCTGGGACAGATCTTGGCGAGTCGCTCCACGCTTCGCTGTCGCGCCTCGGGGCACCTGCCAGCAAAGATCGGGATTTGGGGTTTAGGGATTCAGGTTTTGGGCTTTAGGTTTAGGGTTTAGGGCCTAAAACCCTAAACCCTAAACCTAAAGCCCTAAAGTTTTGGGCTTTAGGTTTAGGGTTTAGGGCTTTAGGTTTAGGGTTTAGGTTTAGGGTTTGGGGTTTAGGTTTAGGGTTTGGGGCTTTAGGTTTTAGTGTTTTAGGTTTAGGGTTTGGGGTTTTAGGTTTTAGGATTTTGGGTTTTAGGTTTAGGGTTTGGGTTGAGGGCTTAGGTTTAGGGTTTAGGATTTTCAGTTACCTTAAGGGTACCTGCAAGGGTTCCTGAAAGTCGCAGTGTGGGAAACGGGACTGAAAGGTCCCTACAGAAGGTCGTCGTCCCAGACCCCCGGGAGGATCCAACAAGTAGATCCCTTAATGGGGGTTCCTATAAAGTACCCTTAGTAGTGTAAGGCCCCAAAATGGGGGATCTACTTTCCAGATCCTCCCAGGGGTCTGGGATACGGCGCTAGAAAGGCAGTGAGCTGTGCGGGGTCGAGCCGTTTCATCTAGAGCCGGATGTTGCACGGACGGAACCATCGGCATGTCTAGAGCAGGCAAGGGGAGGCTGTTTTACGGCGGAATTAGATTTAAGCGCTGTGGAGACTTTCTCTACAACAAACCGTCAACCAAAAGTTAACACACACACACACACCAAAATAAAAAACCTGAGAGCCCCTGAAGATTCCGACTGCCTACCTGAATCCTAACCCTAAGGGTCCAAAGGACTCAATCATGGGGTACTTGAGTTGAGGCTACTAGAAATGAAAGTTAATATTTGGGGGAGCATATGATTACTAAGTACTTGGACCCTTAAGGCACCCTAAGATGTAAACCCTGAAAAGCTTAAGGTGAACCTTCAACCCGACTACCCAGTATAGGTGCCTTAATATATATATATATATATATATATGTATTCAAGGTATACTCCTTAATTCTTAATTAAAGGATATTGGAGTCCCCTTAAACCCTAAACCCTATAGATCCCTTAAGGGAACCCTTAAGGATCCCTATACTAGGTTCCTGAGTCGCCTCTAAATTCCAATAGATCCCCTGTAAGTAACACCTACCCAAAACCCAAGGAAATAAAGTTGAAACTTTCAGAATCGACTACCTTATAAGAACCCCAAAGTTGAAACGTTGAGTTTACAGCCAATAAGCTTCTAGAGCCCTTTAACTATTAAGGAACCCCAGGTAAACCTCCGACCCGACGGCCTATTATATGTCTCATCGCACGCGCCGAAGTCTGCCGTGGCCATGTTTGGGCGTCTCGAGGAACGTGGGAGAGGCGCCCAGAAATACAAACTGGGCGCGGGCGCCTAAACCCGGCAGGGACCGGCGAGATCAAAATCGGGAGTAGGGCTTGTTGCAGGCCTAGAAACAGGGTCTGACAAGCAGAATAGGGTCTAGGGATATGGAGACAGGAATATGGGTGCCAATATTGCAGACCTCTGTATTGCATGCGCTGTTGGCTTTGACAAGCCTTCTGCTGACTGCACTGGTCCTCATCACATGTGCCCTGAACCTCCATTCTGCTCGAAGCCATGCCCGTTGAACCCATGGAGGCGGAGGGTAGCGACATCTATATGTTGCCGAGCCCAAAACGCTGCAGGCGTGAGAAGTGTCGGGTGTTGGAGGTCCTCCTGTATGTAAACCCTATGGAAGCCTATGCGAGTTTCCGAGAATAGGGGTACCTTATTTTTCGGTCCCTGTAAAAGGATCCTACTATTTAGGGTACTGTATTAAGGTCCCCTGTTTTCGGGAACTCCCCCATAAGGCCTTCAAACTTTCCCGAAACACTAAACTGGCAACCCTACCCAGCTACTAAAGTCCTAGAGCCCTCACTTACAACAAAGGTTCAAGGAGCATTGCTTTAGAACCCAAGGTTCAGGGTTTGGGGTTTAGAGCATTTAAAAACAAAGAACTTTATTATGCCCCTTGAATCCACATTAACTCCATGGCTGATTGGACCATGACACGAACCCACCCTTACAGGAACCTGTATGGAGCCGCTGATTTAAAGGACCTCTGTATAGAAGCGGGAAGACCTACGTGAAGTCCATTCTTTCCAATCCTGACCCGAATCCTGACCCGAATTCCTAAACCCTACACCCTACACTCAATCCTAAACTCCTAAACCCTGACCCTAAACCCTGAACCCTAAACCCTAACCCTAACCCTAAACCCTAAACCCTAAACCCTAACCCAACCCTAACACTAACCCTAAACCCTAACCCTAAACCCTAAACCCTAGACCCTGAACCCTAAACCCTAGACCCTGAACCCTAACCCCCCCCCAAGAAGACCCCATACCGACCAGGCTCTTGGGGTGCAGCTTTTTGCCGCAAGTCTCTGCCAGATGCGGAAACTCAGGAGGTTCATTCAGCACCCCCAAACCCTGAATAGCCCTTAATTAAAGCATGTACCTTAAGAATCATATATTGGGGACCTACCATCCATAATTTGATGTATGTTCCTTACTGAACAGGGGATTTTGGAAGGTCTGGACCCTGAATAGCCCTTAATTAATTAAGGAGTATACCTTATAAAACATATTCGGGGTCCTACCATAATTTGATGCATATTCCTTACCTAACAGGGGATATTAATAGGAAGGTCTGGACCTATGCCCAGTCGAAAATCATGGAATTCGGTGCTTAAACCCATCAAAAGGCTCAGAACAGCCCAAAAGCCTTATCGAGTAATAGAGGGCCCTTAATAATTCGAATAGGGCCTTGGGCTATAATATGCTATAATCAGAAGAAGGAGCCCCCACAATGGTATTGGCAATTATTTAAGCCCCTGCAGTGGGGGCTTTGATCTCAAAAGCCTTGAAATATGCATCCCTAGAGCCTTCGGTAAGCCTCGGGGATAGGTAGGGGTCTACTGAAAGGATCATGGGACTTGGTAGCTAGGGTTATAAATAAGGTAACTATACTAATATTTTCTTGTAACCCCAATAAGGGTACTTATAACCTACTTATAACTAAGCGCCCTGATCCTCCAAGTAGGGTGCCGGCTTAATGAACTTCCTGCAAGCAGTGCTGCACAAGTGCAAAGGGCCTCCCCACGATCTTTTATCGCAAGACCCCCATGGGCCATTATGAAACTAGGATACCCAGTAACCTAGGAATAAAAAGGCGTCTCTTTTTGGTATTGGGTAACTTTATAAGGAACCTAGGACTAGAAAAAGGGAATAAGGGTACTACTGGGCATCCTAGGAAACCTTAAACCTCAAGACAGGAACCCTCACAACCGTACAGGAAGACTTGTACTTGTAGAAACACCTAGCCAGCAATGCAGAGATCAACCAGGAGCGAGCCTCGCACCTGCGCTTCGAAGCCGCGGAATGCGGGCAATCGATGAGCGACTCGGCTAATCTTAAGGACCAAATGACCCTTAACAGTAGGGGACGCAGGATTTTGGGCTCGGGATAACACTCCCGATATACAAACCTCGTAAAGACGTATCTGAAAACCTTACTTTTCCAGTATCCCAGGGGAACCAAAGGTAAACGTTTCGGATTATTGTGGGTGGTTGTCAAAATTATGGTCCCTTTTTGGGTACCCTGAATATTAGGTGCCGCAGTACATCAAGGACCCAAAAAGGGACCCAACCCTAAACCTGTCGGACTAATATCGGAAATTATCAAACCCCAGAAGGTCTGAGGCGACCTCCCCTACTCTACGTAGTACTGAGATAAAGTAGCGTTTAAACTATACCATCCTTAGAACCATAATAAAAATAATACCTTAAATATTTTCTTCGGTTTCTATGAACAAAAAATAAAAAATAGTTCCTAAGGAGACTATAGTAAACTTTACAGGGATTTTTGGGTTTCTACAGGCCTGCAGCCCGAAACTCGGTAACCACACAGCAGTTCACTCTTGCTCCACTCCAGCCACAGTTGGGGGTTTCCCAAAACAGGGGTA